TTCAGATTTTCATCTCCATTCATGGTAGTTGTGAATGTGCAAGGTAAACAGATAGAGAGGAATATTTGGCAAAGTGCGAATTTAACACTGGAAAACATATTTATGCACTTAACGCATACAGCTCATGAGTTATCATCACTTCGTATATATTGTTTCTGTAGTCAGCAGAAAAAAACAACCCAGTCCACACAAATTTATTTGCCTTCAGCAATGTAGCTGCGAAAAAGGAACCGAGAAATTTATGCGATTTAATGTTATTTAATGTCATGGAAAGCAAGTTAATGCCAGCGTCAAAAAAAAAAAGGTTTTGCGCCGTTTCGAGTTCTGTGATGTGACTCGAAAAGAAAATGCGATCTAAAAGTGTTCGTCTTGCACACCCCTCGCCCTCATATCACAAATTTCCTTCAATTGTAGACTTTTCAAAACACTTTAAACCGTTTAAGTGCTTATTTTTGTAAGTAGCGGAAATCCGTCTAATTTTTTTCCATTTCCATTTTTTCGTTTTCTTTATCCTTAATCTTAATTATACTTTGGGAAAAAAGAGTCTTGTAGCCATATAAGGTTTGGGAAGAGAGCTTGGGAAAAAGATGGTAAGGATAGAGTGGGTTTGAAACAACAAAACTAATTGCGGAATAGGAAAAAGGACAAAAAAGAAGAAACAATAACAAAGTGGGAAATATGAAGGAGAATAAAAAAATGGAAAAATGTTGCTTCCTTGACAGCCGGCCACATTGGTGCATATATATTACGAAGGCCAGCCACCACCACCGCCGCTTTAGTTTCTTAACGTTCCACAGCGTTTCTCGGCCTTAACTTTTTTCGCAAACCCACCCAATTGTTTTTTTATGCATTCCATGGTTACGCTGGCTGCCTTGCCTTAAATCCAAATAAAAAAACATAATTTCGGAAATCTTGCAAGTTGTGTTGAGAGCCTTGTCATAATGTTTGTTTTTTTTTTCGTTCTCCCTCTACGAATGTTCGTCTGTCACACCCTTTTCATAATGTTTTCCTGTAGCAAATATGAGTGCGTGTAAATATAGACTTTTTTATTTTCGCCTACCTTTAAAATTATAGTTTGTTTGGCTCAGCAGGATTCGTGGTTGAAAATGATAGAAGACAATATCAGGCGACTTTCAGCCATTTTTATTAAGACAAATGGTTTTGGTGATTGATTTATGGGTTATCTTTTGGCTAACGAAGAATATGGTAATAAAGTTTTCTGTTTTTTTTTTCTTTGCAACTGGTCATTAATTTTAATATTTTTTGAAATCAATTTTTAAAGATAAGGGAAGAAGCGGGTGTAATTAAAATGTGAACGAGGAATATTTTTTTTTAAATTATTCTTGACACAAATATTCCTGAACAACATGTAAGGGGTAACAATGAAGAAAGCAGTAAGTTCAACCCGGCCGAACTTTGAATACCCTCCACCATTTGAAAAGAATTTGGCAATTTTCAAAAAAAAAGATCCTTTACAATTCTGTTAAAATCTTTAATATACCGACCTGGACCTAAATAGGCAAATTTTGTCATAAACCAATACAATATTCAAAAGCGAAACTTGAAAAAAAGTAAAAAAGTATCGTTCGGTTTTGCCGACAGATGTATACCCTCAGCCAATGTTCCAGCAAAGAAAGTCTTAAAGTCGGGCGGGACCGACTTTATGATACCCTACACCACTTTTCTAATTTAGTAGAGCTCCACAAAACAATTAAAAGTTTTAATGGGAGAATTCAATCATAAACGCTATGATTATAAGTATAATTTAAAGTTCAAAGGACTAAATATGCCGAAGCTATTGTATCTTTTAAATTCGGTTTTGTATTGCCTATTTGGTGCACAATTAATTTGAAATCGGATAAAGATATATATGGGAGCTATATCCAAATCTGAACCGATCTTCATAAAATTTGGCAAAGATATTTCTGAGCTGTATTTGATATATTTCCCTGAATATCGTTGTTACGGAGTGCGTATTACGTTTGTGGGTAGCAAATATAACAAATCGGATGAACAATGGGAGCTATAGCTATATCTGAACCGATCTTCACCAAATTTGACATACTAGCTTCTAAACTCAATTCGGTCGTAAGTGCCAAATTCCATCCCATTTGGACAAATATTAGACGCTTGGTGCACAATAAAAGGTAAATCGGACGAAGTTATATATGGGAGCTATAATCAAATCTGAAAATCTGATCTCGATAAAATTTGGCAAAGAGCTGGAGCTGTATTTTCTATATTTCCTTAAATATTGTTGTTACAGATTGCATATTACGGCTGCGGAGTACAAAAATAACAAATCGGATGAACAATATATATGGGAGCTATAGCTATGTCTGAACCGATTTCGATCAAATTTGGCACACTTATTTTCAGGCCTAATATGGTTGTATGTGCAAAATTACATCCTATACGGGCTGATATTACACGTTTGTTGCACAATAAAAGGCAAATCGGACGAAGATATATATGGAAGCTACATCTAAATTTTGACCGATTATCTCCAATTTCAATAAGATTCGTCCATGGGCCAAACAAATGATCTGTGCAAAATTCTGGATAGAGCAACAAATGCGAACTGTACTTTGTTTACAAAAATACATGGACAGACAGACGGACGGACAGACGGACGGAAGGACATGCATAAAACGACTCAGAATGTGATTCTATGCAGATCATCAAAAGGAACTATGGGTCTATCTCGTTTCCTTTTGCCTGTTACAAACATATGCCCAAAGACTTAATACCCTGGTGTAGGGTATAAAAATATTTTGACTTCTGTTATTATTATTGAAACTCTTGACCCTCTATGGAGTTGGTTTTGAAAGAATGGGTCAACATTTTAAATCGGATGTTGATTTCGCTTTTTATGCGCTTCATGGATATATATATCTTTTTTTCTTGAAAATGTTGACCTTTTGTGGGGAGGTACCAGAAGGAGTGGACTGATATACTCCATCTTTACACCACACCTTGGATTAATAAAAATATTGGGATTTTTGAAATTTGAAGACAATCGGACTGTTACATAACATTTTATAAAAGTTGTAATTATTCAAAATTTTGACCCTTTGTGGGGGAGGTACTTGATGGAGGGGATCGATGACGCTAATATTAGTATTTGCAAAGTTGGTGCAAAATCGTTTCTCTTTCTGTGCAGAAAAAAATTTTTGAACATTTCGACAATTTGTGGGGAGGTACCAGAAAGAGTAAACCGATATATTCCATCTTAACACCAGACCTTGGCTTAATAAAAACATTGGGATGTGTGTAATTTGTAGACAATCGGACGCTTACATCACATTTTATAAGTTGTAATTATTCAAAATGTTGACCCTTTGTGGAGGAAGCACTTGATGGAGTGGATCGATATTTTCCATGTTTGCACCTGACCTAGAACTGATGAAAATATTCGGATTTGCAAAGTTGGAACAAAATGGGATTATAGTTTCTTTTTCTGTACAGAAAATATGTTTATTGAATTCGACCTTTTGTGGGGAAGTACCAGAAAGAGTGGACCGATATTGCCCATCTCCGAACTCGATCTAAGTTTATCAAAAATATTACGTTGTACCAAGTTTGGGCCAAATCGGAGTTATCGTTCTAACCATCCAGCCAGACAGACGGACGGAGATCGCTAGATCGATTCCCAATGTCATGAAACGATTTCGTCCAAAGAGACCTAGGGTCTAAAACCGTTATTTTGTTCACAAAAATGTATTTACCGCATTGAACAAGAAAGGATTATCCAATTTTGTTCAAATTATTGCAGTGTCTTAATATTTTATCCTGACAAGGCCAGTAGCGAAAGTGGATAATATAGGACGACTCCATCAAGTACCTCTCCCAGAAAAGGTAAAAAATTTTGAGTAAGCAAAACCCACATGAAATGCGAAATAAACATTCAATCATCTGGATGTGATGATAGATATCGGTCCACTCTTTCTGGTACCCCCCACAAAGGATGGTAATTTTAATATTTATGTTTCTCATAACTTGCGAAACAAGTCAGTGATTTTATTTCAGACTTTGTGTATCTAAATGTATCTCTCATTCAGATAACTGATGTGAATATGGAATTTATCGTTCCACCCCCTCAAAAGTTTAAAATTTTGATTAACAGTCATTCGCATAAAATTGGATTTAAATAAACGATTATCGGATGAGGGTATACATCGACTTAGAATTCTGAAATCACAAAAAAAATAAAATTTTTGATACTTTGTAATATCTTAGTGTAATATGTATTCAACCTATTTTTCATTACTATGTACCGATAACTGCGTTATGGGTTTAGAACATTCCGAAAATATTTTCCAAAATAAATTCGCATATTAAAATCTTTACAGCTCAAATAATGACTCTAAAATAGCTTTAAAACAAATTTCCCAAAATAGATGTGCAAAAGGGTACCTCAATTTGTCAAAAAAAGAAGAAATAATTTTCAACCGCAACAGCAGTAATCTTCATCAGGAAGTAAAGTTGCAAATAATGGCAGGCTTTGTTTATTAGTTTTGTGACTAGTCAAAAAAAAAAAAAAAAAAAATCTCCCACATGCATAGAAAACAATAACTAGACCATAAAAGACAATGAATGTGGATGAGAATTTCGACTGACAATACGAAAAAACAAACAAACCTTCAAAACTATTGTTATGAACTTTTTTTCTCTTTGGTGGACTCGAACTTTTCATTGCTCTCAACTTATGTGTTATGGCCGCCCACCCTGACCATAAATATTTTGCATTTTTGAAAACTAAAGGCTAGCCGTACGGCCTTACAATGATAAATCGTATAAAAACGACATGAGACAAAGAGGAGTCCTTTTTTTAATATAAAGGAGATTTGTTTGTTTTTTAAGAAAAAAGAAAAAAAAATGAATTCTAAATAGTCATATGTTATTTTCATAGAGTTGTATATTAAAATTAAACTTTTTTATTTTTAATAATTTTTTCTTTTCTTGTTTCTATTTTCATGTGGCTGCCAAATAATTTTTAGATGTCAACATGGTGGCCGAACCCAAGGCCCATCAAGTAGGACGCAAGCGGCAAAATATTAATAAAACTGGCAATGATTGGTAAGTAGAGAGTTAAAGTTTATTATTTTCTATAAAATTTCAGGAAACAAAATTAAAATGGGGGGTTTGGGGAGGAGATCGTCACAATTTCAGTACACATAAAATCCATACAAGCTGGGAAAAAAATTAAGCCATTTTAATAAAAACAGCGGCATTTTCGCCCAGCCAAAGTTATAAATTGTAAACTATGCAAAATATTGTTTGGCTTTTTGTTGTTATTTCACTCAATGTCCGGCACAGAATTTCCAATTTTTTTGTGTGTTTGTTTTTCTTTGCGCGCGCGATGATGAAATATTTCGCGGGAACTTGTCATACATAACATTGGTGCTTTGTCTTTGCAGGGCACTTGGAATGTTTTGGAAAAAAATATGCATATGTGTATGAATATTTTCTATAAAAGTCTAAGTAACGAGGGTAGTTTTTGAAATTTCTGAAAAGAGAAAGTAAAGTAAATATGTGATATATGCCGAAAATCAAAGGACTTCAAGGAATCTCCATTTGAAAATTTCAAAAAAAAAAGTGGAAAAGGGGGAACTTACCTCCTCTATTTCGATTACGTTTGAACGTATATTTTCAGAATACCGAAACACGTGTCTTCTATTTATAATTCTTTTTTTTTAATCTGATGGATTTTCCATGAATTCCTTGATTATTGAATTTTTTTAATTTTGTCGCACAGTGTTATTGGGCAAATCTTCAATACCAAATTCCCAAGTATTAGAATTCCAGCTCTACTCCTTCAACCAACATCAATTAAGTAACATTTAGTACGCATATCCAAAACAATCTACATCTTTCCATTCTGGACTCAAGTCAAAAATAGTAACATTTAGTACTTTTTTGATTATTTATAGTACTCATTTGCAAAACCACCGACAGACTTCAACAGCAGATACCAACAGAGTCCTTAGTAACAAATTTCGGGAATACTGCACACACACACAAGTAGTACCGTTTAGTAATTTTCGAACAATTGTGGTAAACATTTCCAAAACCTCCTCTATATCTTTACCAGTACCACTAAGAGTGACATCGATATCAAATTTTAGAAATTCAACTCTATTTCATCACCCAATTTCAAATTTAGTACATTTTCGTACAATTTTAGTACACATTACTCCATATCTCAATTCCAGATACCAACAGATACTTTTTGTTCAACTATAGAACACATTTTCAAAACCACCTCCACATATCAATCTCAGACACCAACAGATCGCTTAATATCAAATTTCGGGATTTCAGTTCTATCACTTCACCCAATTTGGTACCACTTAGTACTTTTAAAAGAATTATGGTACACATTTCCAAAACTAACTCTATATCTTAACCAGAGATATCAAGAGTTGCATCTACATATATCAAATTTCGGGAATCCAGCTTTATCCCTTCACCCAATACCAAATTTGATACCATTCAAACAAATATAGAACGTATTTCCAAACCACCGCAAATCATCATACCATCAAATTTCAGAATTTTATCTCTATCCCTTCTCCCAGTACCAAATATAGTACCATTTAGAAGTTTTCAAATAATTATAGCAAACATTTCGCAACACACCTCCGTATCTTAACCAAAGACACCAACAGTGGCAGTTATATTAAATTTCACGATTTCGGCTCCATTCCTTTAGCCAATACCAAATTTAGTACTATTGGTACCATTATATTACACATCTGCAATACCACCTCCCTATCTCAATTCCAGATACCAACAGATTTTATCAGTTTCCAGGCTTATTCCTTCATCCAATGCCAAATTTAGTGCCATTTAGTACTTTTCCAACAAATATAGCACACATTTCGAAAATCACCTCCATATCTTAACCAAGGACACCAAGAGTGGCAGCTATATTAAATTTCAGGATCTCGGCTCTATTCCCACACCCAAATTTAGTACTATTCTGAACTATTTAGTACTTTTCATACAATTATGGTACACATTTCCAAAACCACTTCAACAAATTTCAGATACCACCAGAGACTCTAACATTAAATTCGAGGATTCCAGCACTGATCCTTCTCCCAATTCCAAACTTGGTACCATTTAGTACTTTTCGAAGAATTATAGTACACAATTCCAAAACCACCTCCATATCTTAACCACAGACACCAACAGTGACATCTGTTCGAAATTTCAAGATCTCAGCTCTATTTCTTCACCAAATACCAAATTTAGTACTATTTAGTACTTTTCATACAATTATAGTACACATTTCCAAAACCACCTCCATATCTCAATTTCAGATACCACCAGAGACCTCAATATCAAATTCGAGGATACCACACCTATACCTTCACCCAATACCAAATTTAGTACCATTTGGTACTTTTTGTAAAAATATAGTACATATTTCCAAACTATCGCCAAATATCAAACGCAGATACCAATAGTAATCTAAACATCAAATTTGAGAAATTTATATTTATCCCTTCTCTCGATAGCTATTATAGTACCCACCATTTAGTACTTTTCATACAATTATAGTACACAGTTTAAAAACCACCCCCATGTGTCAACAGCTCCCACCTCCATATAATCACAGACACCAAGAGTGACATCTATACCAAATTTCAGAATTCCAGTCCTACCCCCTAACCCATTTTCAAATTAGTACGATTTAGTAATTTTCGTCCAAATAATTGACGCATTTCCAAAACACCGTCAAATCTCAAATAGTTGTACCATCAGTAATCTAAATTTCAAATTTCAGAATTTTATCTCTATCCCTTCTCTCAAAACCAAATATACCTATCATTTATTACTTTTTGTACCATTATAGTATACATTCCCGAAACCACCTTCATATGTCAAGGCTACACATGAACAACGACCCTAATAAAAAATTTCAAACTGCCAGCACTATCTGTTCACACAAAACCAAATGGTACCAAATAAAGTACTATTTAGTACTTTTCGTAGCTTTGTAGTACGCAATTCCAAAACCACAAACATAGCGCAGAAAATACCATAATTCAATGTTTCTATTTCATCAGCTCACCCTAAACCAAACTTTTCCAAATATAGTACCATTTAGTACAATTTGCATACTTAATACACATTTCCAAAACCACCTTCAGATATCAAACGTACTTTTCAACCTTGATTCGTATACCAAATTTTAAGTTGTTAACTATGATAGTTTACAAAGTATCAAAAGGTACTATTTTAGAAGTAAAGTATCATTTTACAAATTTTCGTAACATTAAAGATCGATTTTCCAAAACCCTTTGGTTCATCTATCCTGCACTCCGTCAGTGACTCTTTTTCCAAATTTCAGAATTCTAGCTCATCCCTTTTCTCCAATACAAAGTATTCAATTTTTAGTACATTTTAGTTCTTTTCGTACCCTTTTTGTACGGACCTAGTCTTACATTCCAAGATTCTAGTTTCAACCGTTTCATCTGGGCGTTGATTCTGGATCAGTTACTTGTCTCATTACTCGTTTACATATATAAGTTATTCATGTTCCCTTTAATGGCTTAACCCTCGTATTTGTATTGCTCTTTATGTCTGACTACAGGACTGTCATCATTATCCTGACCATCAACTACCAAATGTCAACGGGTTTTGTTTATTTTGTTTTTTGCTTTGTTTCGTTGGCATTTGGTGTACATACGTTATTACTGTACAGTGTTGACAGAACACTCCAGCCCATACGTTTTCATCATGGCTTTCATACATGGATAGGGGGTCAAACATCCAAACAATAACTATCACACAATTTGGTTGCCGCCACCAGAAACTACTGATGAACTTGAGGTCAGCACATAAACGGGGTTCAGTTCGGTTTTTTCGTCTTTACTTACTTACTGGACAACAGGCAACTGAATTTTTAGTTATTTCAATTTGCCGAGGAATATCCAAAATTTCACACAAAATGTTGCAGGACCAACAATGAACAAACAAACGCAACTATGTATCTGGACTAAGGCAAAAATTGCCAGTGACACGAGACAAACAACATATCCGCAAAAGAGAAAGACATTTAAGTGATGAATTGTTGTATTGTTTGTTATTTGGTGTAGCCGTAAAAACCCCAGCAAACAAATGATGACTGTTGGCAGGCCAGGAAAAAACAAAAAAAAACACAGAACAACTGATGAAAAACCAGAAAATATGCATACAACAGTCATGGCAGAAATTTGAACTTTATTTTTAACTTCTTACTACTCGGAGGACGGAGGTCGATCCTGGTGGAAGTGGTAGTTGTGACAGTTAGTGCCTTGAAAGGTTTGTGGTGGATTTTTTTGCCACACAACTGCTATCACAGCACCACAGACATACAGAGTAAATAGAAATGATCCGTATATATGGTCTTATACAACGGAAAATGTTTAATGACATGTAAATAAAGGTTCTCCTTGTTTTTTGTGTGTGATTCCATATTTCAAGTTCATTTTATACGAGGGTCAACCGAAGAAGTTAAAGAAGATCCTCTGCCGAAAATTGGAATTTAAATTCAAACGTTAATATCATTTGCAAAACTTCCAAAGGCCTCGAATAGGGCTCCGTAAGGATTTTATATTTTGGATGCAGACATTTTTGATATTCAGCACATTAATGACTTTCCGCCTAAAACATTTTATATATCTCCACTATTTGGTATATCATTCATATAATGGTACTTTCGGATTTGAAGTTTTTTTTTTGATGATTTTACATACATTTTATTATAACTTGGAATTGTAGGTTCTGAGTGGTTATGAATGTTCCTGTATAAAATTAGGTATGGCACCAGAGCAAAACTATCCCGAAATTTTGGCTATTTTTAAGAACAAATACTGATGTTTATAGACTTTAGTTCTGTTTTATACCCTGCACTATAGTATGCTAAATCCTCCACCATAGTATGGAAGGTATATTAAGGTTGTCATTCCGTTTGTAACACCTTTTTAGACCCCACAAACTATATATTCTTGATCACCATAAAATTCTATGTCGATTTTGTCTGTGGAAATCACTCTAGCTTCCGAACGAAATGAAGAAGGTTGCTA